GCATGTGTGTGTGGCACTGGACAGACTCGAGCCAAGAATATACTCGATCTAATATTTACAACCACACGCCGCAGTACTGTCCAACCCCTGCCTGTCCAATCACTTGGGCTGGACGGTAGAGCGACGGTCTCGCTTCATGCAGGCCGGCGTTCAATCCCCGACCGTCCAAGTGGTTGGACACTATTCCTACCCCCCCCCCCTCCCATCTCAAATCCTTATCCTGATCCCTTCCAAGTGCTATATAGTCGCAATGGCTTGGCGCTTTTCCCCTGATAATTCCCTTCCCCAACCCCCTGACCAAAGACGGATATAATTACATCGTTACATTCAACAATGTTAATTACATCATAACCCAGAAACCGCTTTGAAATATCAAAATACATGAAAATAATCGTATTAAACCCCCATTACCGACCACATCATTTAATGCAATGAATAATAACAATATTGCAAAAAAAAAATATTTTTAAATACATTCACTACTTCAGCGTAAATAAATTCAAATGATCCAATAAAGCTGTAAATAAAGGAGTACTGGAGTGGCCGGGGACAATAAAATGTGGTTTGAGGAGTATTTAGGACACGAGAGATGAGGATTAGTGAAGGTAAGGGAAGGATTAGTGAAGGTAAGGGAAGGATTAGTGAAGGTAAGGGAAGGATTAGTGAAGGTAAGGGAAGGATTAGTGAAGGTAAGGGAAGGATTAGTGAAGGTAAGGGAAGGATTAGTGAAGGTAAGGGAAGGATTAGTGAAGGTAAGGGAAGGATGAGGGGAAAGGGAAGAGTATAAGTAAAGGAGAAGAAGGAGGAGTATGAGAGGACACAGGAAGAGTGAGAGTAAAAATGAGGAGAGAAAGAAGGAAGAAGAGAAGGAAGGAAGAATACAAGTAAAGTAGGGAAAAGGAAAGGAATGGGAAGAGAAAACACACATGAAGAGGTAACATTTTCAAAAAGAAAAAGAAACGGGGAAAAAAAAGATGCTAACGACAAGCAGATAAGAGAAGTGGGAGAAAAGATTAGAAAGGGATATCCATTGATAAGAAGGAGAGAATAGAGAGAGAGAGAGAGAGAGAGAGAGAGAGAGAGAGAGAGAGAGAAAGAGATAGAGGAGGTAGAAGAGGAGGAGGAGGAGGAGAAGAAGGTAGAGGATTAAGTGAGCTTGTTAGCGACTGACCCCCGACACGGAGACAGCGACACAAATTGTCTTCAGGGGTTCCACCTTCCCAAAATGTTGGCGGTAATGAGAACACAGTGTCGTCAGCGGCTCTGGGGGCCCCCTGGGGCTCGAACCCTGGCCTGGGGCCCCTCGGGACGAGGGTATGGTCAAGTGGTGAGGGGTAGAGGATAGGTGAAGGGGAAGGACAGAAGGGAGGGATAGAGAGAAAGGTGCAAGATAGAGAGGGAGGTGAGAGCGGAGGTGCATGAACGAGGAGGTATATATGTGAGAGGTGAGAGAGTGAGAGGTGAGAGAGGGAGGGTGAGGGGAAGAGGGGGGTGGGGGGAGTTGTTTGTGGGAGAGAGTGGGGGGTGTGGGGGCTATGATGGGGTGTAGGAAGGTTGTGGGGTGGTCACAACCTTCACACAACCACACCCACGGCTCCACCACTCCTAACAACCACACCCTCGGCACCACCACTGCTAACAACCACAATAGGCCTTGTTAATGTAACTGCCGCCAAAATGTTGAATAAAACAGTAATTAACGTCTATTATTGCCTATAATTAGCCCCCCAAAAGTTGTAAATATTTTCCTCGTGTGTTCGTGGAACTAATTTGTTGGAGCCTAATGAGCCGTGGAATCGTTTTGATTTTAAAATGATTAAAACATGAACAAAAAATAAAAAAAGCAATTTGGTTAAACCCGCTGTTTGGGAGAGAGGAATTAAGGCTGTACTTAGGGTTATTGATCCCTCCCCCCCCCTAATAGGTTAACTACTGGTTTTGTCAACCCACAGCAGTTGCCTAATTCAAGGGGTAGCTATTTTCCAGCAAGGTGAACAGAGGCATAAGATGCATGGGTCTCCTCCCGAGGACGTAACTCCATTATTACAGTTGCCTGCCTCTCGTGGGCCTCACTCCTCTTCCAGGTGGTCCAGAAAATAAAAATAAAATAAAAATAAATCAAAAATAAATAAAAAGCTCAGTGAGATTTTTTTTTTTAAATCCCTTTTTTTGGGAGGCTGTGAAACTCTAATGCCTCGTATTATATAATAGCTCACACCTACTCTCATATAATATACCTTATTCTTATACGTAAACGCTCAAATACATCACATACTCGTATATTTTTATTGAGGATGTATGGAAATTCTATTTATTTGTTGACATACAAAACACAGTTAGATCCAGACCACTGTTTTTAATGACGTCGTATTTAGCGTTCAGTTTATATACTGTATTCTCATGCCAATAGTATTGCCGATACTGACGAAACAATATAAAAATAGTTTGTATTATTTCGGGAATGTTTTAAATCTTTAAAAATATAATTGCCAGACAATATATTTATTCGCTGATATTCGATTGCATCCAATTTATACCTTTTCATGCCGTTATTAACAAACTTTTTAGTTGTGTATATTATAAAGTATCGCAAACACATTTATATACCAATTTAAAAAAAAAATTGATAGAAGTGCAGTATTTTTTCCACGAGAAATATATATAGTATTGTTGAGAAAATAATCATTTTTAATGCCACAACTGACAACTATATTATCTATATATTTCGTCGACCTTATCCTCTGGTTCCTTAGTGTGGCGTGAGCCTTGGTGGAGGGAGGGTGTTAGCGCGCGGAGTGACCAGTGTAGTTATCATTGTTTTCTTTATCAAACTCTTGACATTTTGAAACAAGATCACAAAAATACTCAAAATTAGATGTACTTTGAAATTATTAGACAAATGAGGTGGTTATAGTGCTTTTTTTTCTGCTTAAACATTAACGGCGTAATGTTCACAAGATTGACGACTTCAGACGCCAGTGAAAAGTGACGTGAGTTTGTTGTTTTTGTACTTCTATGTAAATAATAATTTTTTTACTTTTATGTAAATAAACCACTCTCCCTGTCTGTACCCCCACTCCCCCTCTCCCTGTCTGTACCCCCACTCCCCCTCTCCCTATCTGTACCTCCACTCTTCCCCCCCTCTCCCTGTCTGTACCTCCACCCCCTCTCCTCTGTACTTCCCACCCCTCCCCCTCTTGCGTCCTCCCCCCAGCACCCGGGGGAGCCCCAAAACCCTCCCCTGCTCCCCAGAACTCAGGGGAGACGTCTCTTCTTCACCCCTGCACTGCGTCGCATGCCACCACGCCCAACCCTAATGGAAACGCCAACTTAAAATCTGATCTCTCTTAAAAATCAGTTCAGATGAAATACGAGATGCTGCGCTGTTTGGGATTTTTGATGATAAATCTTTACCAAGCGAGGTGAAGCGCCGCCGGTATTGCTTCTTCAGAGTCTAAGAAATCTGTAAAATGGTCGACTTCGATTGCTTAGAAACAACGAACTAGAAAATGTTCAGAGGATCGCGTAACGTGTCATTTGAGTTGGGGCGAGTGCTCAGAGTGCCTTGATGTTGCGTCTGGCTGGCTGGCTGGGGCTGGCTGGCTGGCTGGCTGGCTGGTTGATGGGCTGGCTGGCTGACTGGAGGGCTGGCTGGGGCTGGCTGACTGACTGGAGGGCTGGCTGGCTGGCTGATTGGCTGGCTGGCTGGCTGGAGAGCTTTCAGACTGGAGGGCTGGCGGAATTGCTTATTGGCGGACTGGAGGACTGGCTGTCTGGAGGGCTGGCTGGCTGGCTGGCTTACTGGAGGACTGACTGACTGAAGGGCTGGCGGACTGGCTGACTGGAGGACTGGCTGACTGGAGGACTGGCTGACTGGAGGGTTGGCTGACTGGAGGGATTGCTGACTGAAGGGCTGGCGGACTGGCTGACTGGAGGATTAACTGACTGGAGAACTGGCTGACTGACTGACGGACTGGAGTGGCTGGCTGGATGCTTGGACTGGTGGGTGATTGGGTTATCGGTTGGCTAGATTCTTGGATGACTGAGGGTTGGATAACTGGCTAGCTGGATGCGCAAGTGACTGGCAGACTGGAGGGCTAGTTGAGCAGCAGAAAACCTTTCAGAAATAGAGTACAAGACAGTAATGCTCGGAGACAAGCCACCACACCGCTGCTCGCTGTGAAGAGCAGCAGTCTATATCTGGTCCTTAAAACTTTTAGAAATCGTGGTACTCCCAGTTACTCTTGGGAGAACCTACACAAAATGACCTTTGTTGTACACACAATGTTAAAGTTTGTTTAACTGTCAGAATACTGTAAAGGACATATCTTGAGGTTATCTTGAGATGATTTTTGGGGCTTAGTGTCCCCGCGGCCCGGTCCTCGAACAGGCCTCCACCCCTAGGAAGCAGCCCGTGACAGCTGGCTAACTCCCAGGTACCTTTTTACTGCTAGGCAACAGGGGCATCAGGGTGAAAGAAACTCTGCTCATCGTTTGCATGTCTGCCAGACAGATATGCCAACAGTTACAGACTGTTAACTATAAACCTAACTGCCCTGGGTCTGAATATACAATCTTAGGCCTTGTATACGTTATCTTAGGCCTAAATTGGTATACATGTGTGCTATAGACCCAAGCATGTTTATGTTGGGTTGTTGCCTTCTTTCTCTGCAGCTATACAAAGTGAATAGTGTAAAATGTGATAACCTGTTTGATCTTATTGAGTATTGGAGACCCTCGTGACGGCTTCAGACTTGAGTTAGAATACTGAGATAGTATAAGGCTTGGAGTGCCTCGGGGTGAGGTGGAGAGTGCCTCGGAGGTGAGGGGGGGGGCAGTGCCTCGGGGGTGGGGGGGGGCAGTGCCTCGGGGGTGGGGGGGGGGGTGGAGAGTGCTTCAGGGAGGGGGGGGGTTAAGAGTGCAGCCTAACAAGAATCACTACTTGATTAAACTTAACCTGTAACTTATCTGGTACCAACTTAGGTAACGAATGGTTAGAC